GCTCAGCTTCACAGTCAGTTGCTCTGGAGACTGCACCCAGCGCTGTAGAGCCCTGGGGCAGCCTTACCATGCCGGGCTGGGCGTCTCAGGCCCGGCGAGTCCCGTACCTAGGGTAGCGTTCCCAAGCAGCGTGTGGATTTCAACTCCTGCTGCTTCCTCAGGGGCCGCGGGGAGTTCTGTCGTCAGCCTGCCACACGGGCCGTCCAGGAGCCGAGCCAGCACGTGGAGCTCTGCAATCCAAGCACTAACGGGTCAGCTGCTCAAGAACGATCATTGCACGGCACCTTCCAGCCGAAGGCACCAGCACATGGGTCAGCAGCAGGGACTGAGCCCAGACCTGCTGGATCCAAAACCACAGCCCCTGCTGCCTGAGCTGAAGGGCAGGGCCAGCAGCACCAAGGCCCAGCTGACCCAAATAGTCCGGCCACCAGAGGCAGAGGCAGCGAGCTACAGGCGACGGGAGCACCCAAAGTGCGTCCTGTATATGCACCAGCTCAGCCTCGCCACTCCTGGGCCACAGAGTGGGGCAGTGACTTGGCTGGGGTCTACAGGCAGCACATGGCCCAGCCAGGGCTGGAACCCAGGAGTTCTGATTCCTGTTGCCCTGCAGCAACCATGACTCTGCTCCCCCCATTATCATCAATGGATTTACCAATAGCTCGCCCGCTACACTATCTAGGTAGCCTATAGCTGGCCAGGGCCTTGCCCAGGGCCAGCTCCAGACACCAGCGAAGGAAGCAGGTGCCTGGGGCGGCCCAGAGAAAGGGGCAGCACTCCATCTGGTATTGGGGCAGTACATCCGGGTCTTCGGCGGCAATCCGGCAGCGGGTTCTTCATTCCGTCTCTTCCTCTTTGGCAGCACTTTGGTGGCAGCTCAATTAGGTTTTTCTTTTTTTCTTTGCCGCTTGGGGTGGCAAAAAAGCTGGAGCTGGCCCTGGCCCTGGCCCTGGCCCTGCCCCAGGCTGGGAGAGTAAATACATCGAATGGGGATGGGGCCAGATAAGGACCAGCTAGTCCCAGGCAGGACTAGCCTGGTGGGGTGGCAGGGCCCCAGGAACAGGCTGCTTCCACTAACTCTAGGGCCTCTGCCGTGGGATAAGGAGCGCGCTGCTTGCCTGTGAACCCCGGCTTGCTACGGACACGCCGGGGGCTGCTGCTGCCCTTCCCCCATTCCCACTGGCTTTACCTTTAGCCATAAGTCCTGCCCGCAAGGTCTCTATGAAGGCCACCACGTGGCTGTCGACTCCACGGCGTCCTGCTGCAGGCGCTGCGATCGCCCCGCACTGGGACTGGGACAGGGCATCCGGGGAAGCACCTGGGTCAGGTGGAGACAGGGTCACTCCTGGCCATGGAAGGGCAGGGACTGGGTGGGCATCGTTCTGGGCACCAGCGCACAGCGGGGCTCCTCTCTGGGCATACCCACATGAGTGCCTGTGCGGGAGGGGCGAGGGATCCCCAGTGGGCTGGGCACATCCCCTGCCCCCCATGACTGCGTGGCTCTTCACGGTGCCAAGCAGAGGCTGTGATCACGGGGGCATTGCCTGGGCATGGCAGAGCAAATCCTTGTGCTGTAGACAACACCCCCACCCTGCCCTGTAAATGCCACCCAGGCACTTGGGGAGCAGGGCCTAGAACCCCCATCCGTCTGCTCCCCAAAGTCAGGCCTCTGCTGTCTGCTGCCTGATCTCAAGGAGGTTGGCTCCCTTCGCTGCTGGCAGTAGCAATCCCTTCACACACATCCCAGGGGCCTCACTGCTACAAGACAACATGCCCAGAGACACACAGCATGGGACACCAAGGGGGCACCACCCACCCTACAATACACGGGCAGAGCTGGCTTCCCAAGGCAAGCCATGGGCAAGATGGGCCCGATCCTGCAGTCTCAGGCAGACCCCCCCAGCGACATCAGCTGAGGATATTGCCCCCCAGCATGCCTGTGCCAGCCTGTCCTTGTCCCTCTCTAGCATCACCCTGCACAGAGCAGGCACATGCTGGTGAAGGCTGTCTGCAATATGTCCCACCCACCTGCTCTGGGGGCGCCCCTCTGCCTGGTGGGCCCTGGGGAAGGAGCGGCTCCTCCAGCAGGAGTGGGAGGCAGAGTCGGCTCTGGGAAGCCTCTGGCCTCCAAAGTCAACTGCGATCCAGCTGCAGACATCTGGAAATCAGACCAAGAATCCTCAAAATCACCATGGCAGCAGCAGCGCCCACCCCGGGACACCAGAAAGGGCAGTGTTGGCACCAGGCTCCCGCCCTCGCCCCATTCAAAATGCTGCTGAAATCCCCTTCCCAGCCCATTGCTCTGTCCCTGTCCCGTCCCCACCCACGCCTCAGCCTGTCAGCCCCACGCTGCTCCTCTGCTCAGCTCGCACCAAGTCACTGCCCTGCCACCTCTACTCTGCCAGACACAGCTGCTGCGCCACTCCCCACCATGCCTGCGACGTCACCTCACCTGTGGGGCTGGCTCCACTCGCTCAACCAGCTGCACCTGCTGCACCATCTCCAACGGCTGCACCAGTTGCACCACCAGCCCCTGCTGCATTGGCAGGTTCTGCAGCACTGTCTCCACCTGCTGAGCTGTCTCCCATTGCTGCGCTGGCTGCACCACAGCCACCCGCTTCATTGGCTGCCCCCGATGGGATGTCTCCAGGTGCTGCGCCGTCTCTGCTGGACGCGCCGTCTCCTGTGGCTGCCGTGGCTGCTGCAATAATCTCTGCCTCTCCTAGAGCACAGGACAGACGACCCCACCCCAGCACTCGTGCAAGTCCCAGGCCAGACCAGCCTGACCTTCCGCACACAGGGCAGGTGCAGATTTTGGCCACGCAGCCCCCCCTGGCGCGGGACAAACCTGACAATGCGTGCCCACGGGAGCACACCCGGCTGGGAGGGCTTCCCCAGGCCATGCCCAGCCCTGTCACACACCAGGCATCCAAGCAATGAGCCCCCCGGACCCACAGCTCCTGAAGAGCCCCATGGAGCTTGGACACTCCCTGATGTTACAGGCAGCAACTCGGGAGCATCTGAAATCTCACCTCTTCCCCGAGGAGATCTTGTGCCCCCTGAACCAGCCCCCATCCCCCACCATGCAAACACCCACCTCCTCCCACTCGGCTGCCATGGTCCTGCAGCGTCTCTCCCAGTGCTCGGTGTCCTCATGGCTTTGCAGGTGGGCTGCAGCTAACTCTGCCTCCAGGGCAGCCAGGCGCCGGGCCAGGAGCTGGAAGACACAAGCCTGCACTCAGACTGAGACCCAGCTGCCCAATCCTCAGGAAATCAGGAGCAAGAAGGGAAAGAAAGAGCCATGCTGAGTGGTCCCCAAAGGCCGACCTCCTCTCCCCTCCCCCTGACAGCAGGGCACCCACCTCACATGTAGCCGAGGCCTCTGGAGTCTGCACCGCTGGATTCCCGACTGCAGCGCCCCAGCTGGGGCTCCTCTCACCCCCTGCAGAGACAGGCACGAAATAAAAGTATTTAGGTGCCTAACTCCCATTGGTTTCAATACCTTTGAGTCACCTGGCCTGGGCAGCTGATGCACAGAGGGCATCTCCCTGCAGTGCCAGCACCTCCCAGCCGGGAGCAGCTGTGAAATCACCCATTTTCCTTCCCCACCATGCGCTTGCCCTGCTGACCCCAGAAGGGGGCACCAGTCCACAGGCTGGACCAGCACAGGCCTGGTGTGCTGGGCTCCCTGGGGACTCTGCCAGCAGGAATGGCACAGGGCAGCAGGAAGGGGAGCCAGGGCATCTCCTGGAGTCCTGTCCCCTCTGCCCTGGGAACATGACCTTGGACCCCTCTAGCCAGAAGAGAGGCTGCCCATCCTGGTGCTGACGAAGCCCAGGGCACGCAGGGCAGGGCTGGGCACACACACACACACACACACACCCAGTGAGACTCTGGGCCTGATCCCTGCACTGATCTCACCACTTCTCTGGTACCATCCCCCAGGCCTTCGCGCATCCTCCCCCCGCCCAGACCGGCTCCCAGATCCTGCCACGCAGCTCGGCAGCCAGGCCCCTGGGGAATGGGGTCCGGGGCAGAAGGCAGCTGCTGTTGGGGGTCCCCTGGCATTTCTGGCCCCTCGTTCAGAGATCCAGCCCAGAGCTGCCCTTCCAGGGAGTGGGACTCCAAGGGCTGCAACCCCCACCAACCTCCCCTCCCCACAAGGTGAGCTGGGGCTGGGCTGAGCAGCCCTGGGCAGCAGGTACCTGCAGGGTGTGTGGCTGGCTCCCCTTCAGCATCTTCCTCTTCCTTCCCAGCTTCCCTGTGCCCTCCGGCCGGCCCAGCCAGCGCCCCCGGCCCCAGGATAGCTGAGTGTGCTAAGGGGCCACCAACGGGCTGCGGCTGCTCTGAGTGCTGCCCTGGGGTGTCCTGAGCAGGCAGAGAAGTGGGGAGAGAAGTGGGGAGGGAGGGAGTGACAGAGGGAGACAGGCAGGGGGACCAGAGACCTGGATCTGCTTGAACATGGGGGTAAGTAATCACACGGGGGTGTGGGGGGGCTGGGAGCAGGGGGTAATACACATGCGGGGGCTGGGAGTGGGGGGAGTAACGCACTGGGGGTGCCGAGCTGATGGGGGGAGGACACTAGAAGCCACGGCCCGAACTCGCGATCCCCTCTACAGCCCGCACCGGGGCGGCTCAGCCACCGCACCCAGGGTGGATCCTCAGTTCTGGGGAGAGTCTGCAGTGCGGCCAGGCTGAGGGCATCGAGCATTGCGGGGGGAACTCACCTCTGGGTTCGAGAACCCCCCTTCAGGTTGCACCATGGACTCTGCCAGCCCTTCCCCGAGCTCCCTTCCTGCTGGTGGCCCCTCCTCGGCAGCCCCCGCGCTGGAGGGGAGCAGCCCCCCTGGGCATGCAGCAGGGCTGGACAGGGCGCGGTCGCTGCACTGGGACAGGAGGAGCAGGGTTAGTCCTGGCACTGAGTCCCACCCCCCAACCCCCAGGCCAGCGTGCAGTGCCGGGGAGTCGCCCTGCTAGCACAGCCGGGCACAGAGCCTATGGGGCCAGCTCCTCTCCTGGGCCAGCTGGGCCCTCACCTGGGTGGCCGCGTCCCTCCGCAGCCACTCCTTCTCCTGCAGGAACCCGTCCAGCTCCACGATGCGCGAGTCCCGGCTCCTCAGCTCGGCTTCCAGGTGGGCCCGCTGAGCCCCACTCTCCTGCTCCAGGCCTTGCAGGCGTCTCTGCACAGGCAGGGAGGACAGGGCTGGTTAGCAGGGCGCCCAGGCCCAGGGGATGGTGGGGCAGCAGCAGCTCCAGGGAGAAGAAGGTCCCTCTCCCCACCCCGGACTTTGGGAGCTGCTACAGGTGGTGGGCCGTGGCAGTGCCAGAAGCCGTCTCTCCATCCCTTCCCCCTGAAGGGCCTAGGCCCAGCTGGCCCGGGCACCCCTCCCTCCTGCCCACCTGGGTGCTCTCCAGCTGGGCTCGGAAGAGCCGGCTCTCCTTCGCCTTCATCTCGCTCAGCTGCTGCAGGTCCTTCAGCTGTCGTTCCTTGGTCTCCACGTCTGGAAGAGACCGACAGCTGCCAGGGGTGAGAGGGCACTTCCGCCAAGCCCTCGGGTGGCAGTGCAGGGCAGTGTCCCCAGGGGACCCCAAGCAGGGACCGCCTGCTGCCAACAAAGACCCCAGGCTGGGAGTCACCCGGAGCCCCACTGCAGAGGCTGGTGAGCGGGAGGACCAGGAGAGCTGCGCGCTGGGACTCACAGACCACCCGGGGCTCCGATGCTGGCATCACCCGCGTAGTGGCTGGCCTGGCAAATGCTGCTCATGCGCCTGTCAGAGGCCTTGCTGCAGGGCCTGCATGTGGCCAGGCTGAGGGCCATGGCGCGTGGTGGAGAGCTGCAGCCACAGGATGCAATGCTGGGGAGCCCAGCGCAGGCCAGGCCCTTATACCCATGTCACAGGGGGTGGGACACAACCCCTCACCTGCCTGAGCCTGCAGGAGCCTGTGTTTGATCTGGACCACCTCTTCCTTAGCCTTGTCTACAGCCTTCTCCACTTGCTTCCTGTGGCTCCTGAAGGACAAACCCCATCTCGCCCAATCATTGCCAGTGCCCCAGGCCAGCCCCCGCCCAGCCCCACCCTGCCCAGCTGCAGTTGGGGGAACCTCCAGGGTAGAGTAACTAGGAACACGTGTGCAGGGCAGAGAGCCTGTTTCAAGGGGGCTCAGCACAGAGCCCAGCTCTTCGGCCTGGCTGTCTTGCCCTGTGCACAGCCCCGCCTTGGCAGAGGTGTGTCACGTACGCAGCCTGTCTCTGGGACCAGCTGGTTGTTGTGGACGGCACAAATCCTGCACTGTTCCCAGCCCTGCGGCTACAGCTGCTGCTCCTTTTGGGGTCAAACGTAGCCTGCTCCGAAGGGGAGCTGCTCTGTTGTATGGAACCCACTCAGCATGGAGCTGGTCTCCCGCGAGTTGTCTGGGCTAGTTGTTCAGGAGCCTGCTGGCCTCAGCTAACAGGCCTGGGGGTTTAGCTGTTAGATCCAGGAGGCCCAGACTCTGTCCCCCCTACCTGGGGCACAGCTGACATAGGGCGATCTGACCTTTCTACAGTCTCCGATTAGTTTCTCTCTCCCAAGGAAATACAGTTCTGTCAGCCAGACACGGTTGCTGTGTGGGTGGGAGACCCGAGCATGGTGGACTGGCCCCTTTGCCCAGCACCCATTTCTGCAGCTGGCCTCAGGAAAATGACCCCAGGACTCTGACAAAAGATCGACAGGGTCCTACTGGTCGTGTTAGGGATTAAATGGGGCTGGACCCCCAGCTAGACTGATCCCGCATTACGCTGCGTGCATGTGGCCATCACCTAGCCAAGTTGCGCAGCGACCATCCCGCTCAGCTGCCGAGGGAAGGTCATCAGTGTAATGAGCCTGGAGGTCTCAGGTCTGCTGCAGTCTGTCTCCTCAACCCACCCCAGGAGCATGGCTGATAGCAGGTGCCAGGAGCAGCACGTGCTAAGGGAGCTCTGCCCGCGCGGGGTCTGAAGGACATAGCAGCAGGCAGGGATGCTGCAGCAGACACAGCTGCCTGCCTGGCGGGTACCTTTTGGGGCTGTGTGTGGCCAGGGCGCTGGTCACGTAGCTGACAATCTCCTTGTTCAGATCCGCCAGGCGGGACATGGCTGCCTCGGCTGAGCTCAAAGCCGCTGTTACCTGGCGGTAGAGATGGGGAGCCACTGGCAGGGGCAGAGATGGGAGAGGGGCCTAGGGACAGTGCCCACAAGTGACTGCGGGCTGCCAAGTGCCCTGGGTGAAATGGGCTGGGGGGGGTGCAGCCTAGTGCCCACATCCAACGGTCTGCCCCCAGCTGGCACTAACCGGCGGCACGAGGGGAAAAGCCCCTGGAGCCTCCCTCCCCCTTTGACTCGGCTCTTCCTGGTCGGGTCCTGCTTGGTTAATCTCTCCCAGCGCCCCAGGGGCATCCTCAGCCCAGAGCAACTGGCCCACAGGAGTCTGGGGTCGTGGGCAGGTCCTAAGCAAACTGGTAGAGTGACACTTCCAAGAGCCAATAAAAAGCAGCAGGAATGTGAGTGGGAAGGCAGCTCGCACTGTCAGCAGCCAGCGCGTTACTCATTGACGTGGGATAGTCTAGCTGGTGGGTGGCTATGTGGGGCTGGACAGGGCGCCCCGTGGGCTCTGGGGTCATGGCACTGCTGTGCCAGTCACTCAGCCCCAGGGATGGCAAAGCAGCTCCAGCCTGCCAGGCATTACCGTGCCAGCCACATCGTCCATGTGCACAGGGAAGTCGTCGGGCAGGCTGTGGCTCTCCTCCCCCAGCCCCAGCTCCACGGAGCAGCTGAAGAACTGCAAGGGAGAGAAGCGTGAGTGTGACGTTACTGACATGAACGGTGACTGTATAAATCATTGTTGCAACCAAAGTCCTGTAGTTGCACCAAATCTTGTACAAAGGAGGTCAAGTAAGGTGTCTATAGAAAGGTTATGATTTGCTGGCTATGATTATGCTATCTGTATGCAGGATCATTTTGTTATTTAAAGTTATAAATATTGGCTCTATGCTGTATTTCAAACTTGTGCTATGCCTCTGGGTGACACCCCAGACAGTTTGGCATCAGCTCTGCCTAGCCTGCTTGATGGCCCATTAAGGATCATCAGCTATACAACTGACCCATTGAGAGAAGGCAGATACACCTTGTGACTCAGCAAGGCATGCAGGGAGAGAACTTGGAGGCTTTCAAGCCATGTGCTGGGCAGCTTGTGTTTGACACCAAGGAAGCACAGGCTGTATGGCAAGAGATTATAAAAGGCAGCTGCATCCCCTCCATCTTGTCTTCAATCCTGCTTCTTACCTCTGGAGAAACTTTGCTACAAACTGAAGCTCTGAACCACAGGCGCCAACTTTCCTCGGCGCCGGTGGGTGCTTGCTCCCAGCCCTCCTCTGCCCCCTCCCTGCCCCTATTGGACCCCTCTCCAAATCCCCGTCCTGGCCCCACCTCTTCCCCGAGCGTGCTGCGTTCCTCCTCCTCCCCCTCCCTCCCACTGTTTGCTGTGCAAAACAGCTGTTTTGCAGCGCAAGCGCTGGGAGGGAGGAAGGGTGGAGAAGCAGGACTCGGCGGTGCTCTTAGGGGAGGCGGAGGAGGAGGAGTGGGGGCGGAGGTGAGCTGGGGCGGGGTGCTGCCTGTGGGTGCAAAGTACCCACCAATTTTTCCCCGGAGCACCCATGAGGTCAGAGCCTATGCTCTAAACAAAGGACGAATGACCCATCCCAGCTGTGGATGTACTCCAGAGACTTGATTTGAACCTGCAGTTTATTCCATCACTGCTACAAGCCTGAACCAAGAACTTTGCCATTACTGTATGTAATTGATCCCATTTAACCAATTTTGGCTCTCATCTATATTTCTTTCTTTTTATAAATAAACCTTTAGATTCTAAAGGATTGGCAACAGCATGATTTGTGGGTAAGATCTGACTTGTATATTGACCTGGGTATGGGCTTGGTCCTTTGGGATCAGGAAAACCTTTTTTCTTTTGCTGGGATATAGGTTTTCATAATCATTCATCCCCATAAAGAGTGGTGCTGGTGGTGATACTGGGAAACTGAGTGTCTGAGGGAATTGCTTGTATGACTTCTGGTTAGCCAGTGGGGTAAAACCAAAGTCCTCTCTGTTTGGCTGGTTTGGTGTGCAAAGGACCCCCAGCCTTGGGCTGTGACTGCCCTGCTCTAAGCAATTTGTCCTGAATTGATACCCTCAGTAGTGTCCCACCAAAGGCCACTTTGTTACAGCGTGTCAGAGTCCAGCCTGCATCCCGGGCCAGAGGGGACATCTGCTCGCCAAGGCCCAACGGGGTGAGGTTCCAGCTGTGCCCATTTCAACCTGGAGCCTGCATCTCCGCACAGAGGCATTGCCATGGGGATGGTGTTTGCCTCTGGGTCCCCCAGATTCTCCCCGAACCGCCCCACACCAAGGACCCCTCTGACCTCCTGCAGCTGGCTCAGGAGGCTATTGCGCTGCCCACAGGACTCCTGGTACCCCACGATGAAGACAGTCACTTGCTGCTGGTATCTCCTCTTCTTCACGGGGTCCCCCAAGACGGCTGCCAGCTGCTCCTGGGCATCCGGGAGAGAAACTCTGGGCTCACGGAGACCGGAACAGCGTGCCCCTTCCCATGCTCGGGGTGTATGACGAATACACACCCATGGCTCTCCCCTAAGGCTGTTTGGACTCAGCTGGGCCGGTTCTGCCTCACTCAGCCTTCCGGAGCTCACCCCGCAGGGGCATTTGCACGTTGGGAGATGCCTCTCCCCACCCTGGCCTGCAGGAGCTATTTGGAAACGGTGGACAGTTGCATGTGGCCCAGATTCCTCCTTCTGCCCTCTCCCCAGGCTAGACCAGGGTGTGAGCCTTTGGCTTCCCTTGCTTGCCAATCCAAACATTAGCAAATGGCTAAGTTCCATGTAGTGTCCAGCATCACTGCCGTATGGCATCAGGGCTGCTCAAGCATGGGAGTGTTACAGACATAACGATCCCTGGTTCTTACAGCACCTCCCATCAGCTGGGCTCAAAGCCCTTTACGGAGGAAGTTGGTGTCATTATGTCCCGTGTACATATGGGGAAACTGAGGTACGGCAAGGAGTTATGACTTGCCCAATGTCACCCAGCAGGCTGGGGTAGAGCTAGGCTTAGAACCCAGGTCTCCTGAGACTCAGTGCAGTGCTCTTTCCACTAGGTCACACTGCCTCCCACAGCAACGCTGGGCAAAGAACTGAAAACCCACCCAAACAAGTGGCTCGGATTCCCCACAATTCACAGGTGTCTCATTATTCAGTAACCCAGGATCCAGCCCAATTCGCACCTCACCAGGGCCTAGCACTCACAAAACTCCTGCCGGGGTGGGGATTTTCCCAGTTAAATACTTTCACTTGGCTAATCAGGATGCAAAAACAACCCCATGTGACAGAGTCTGCTGCAAATCCCCCCCTGCCCCCAAGGAGTCAGCGAGGTGCCCGAAGAGGGGCTCCGCTGGCAGCACTCAGGGTGCGAGCCAAGGGCCACACAGCCTGGCTCTGCTTCTGTACAGTTGGCACCAGCCACCCTGGCACCCTCTAGCCAGAGCTCCCAGCCCTGGGGTTGCATCACCACCAGCTCTGAGCCGTGCGGTGGGGCTGGGGGGGGAAGAGGGGGTTTGCTGGGCGGGGGGCACTGGAGCCCTGTGTGCGTGGAGCTGTGGGCTGGGAGGAGGAGGAGCAGGATTGCATTCATTCCAGCAGGAGGGCTCCTTAGGGCTGCAATCGGCTTCCAAGCTGATTGGCTACTGCACTGCCCTTAGGCCCCCCTCAAGCCCTCCCCCCCCATTTCAGCCCTGCCTCCCCTCCCCTGACAGGAACTACCCCACGCAGGGGCAGGGACCTCTCCATGCAGCAGATCAGTCCCAGCGGCTGTTTCACCCTCTCCCTGTGCGGCGGGAGGGCTGTGGAACAGGCCTGGGGAGAGGCACTGTGCCCTGTTGAACATACCACATCCTCCACAATCTCTGCGGCTGCTTGCTGGGCAGACGAGACCTGCTCACTGCGCTCATAGGCCTGGATCATCTGATAGGAAGTGAAAGGGTTAATCAGCAAAGGCCTGAGGCACTGCCGGGTATGACGCACATGCCACATGCTACCCCCCACCAGACAGGGCCAAGGCCCATTGCTAGAGTTGGAGAGAGTGTCCCAGCTTGATCAGGCAGGGAAACATGCCAGGAAGGTGGCTGCCTGCCCCTCACTTACGGAGACAAGCATAGCCAGTAAGGAGAGCAGGAGCATCTCTGCTGAACTGGGGAGGGGGGGAGTAGGGGGGGGGGAGGCAGGAGAAGAAAGCAGCAGAGGAGAGGGAAGGGAGCAGAGGGTGATGTGTAGGGAGCAAGGCCTGCATGCCCTTTTTCTCTGCTGTAGAGATGGTGAGGCAGCTTGGCCCTCTCTGAGCTATTGATTCAGGCTCTCTGCAGACTCAGGCAGACATCCCTGCAGCAGCTTCCTTTCACAACCATGTGGGCTACGAAGTTCTCCCTTTAGCGGCAGTGCCCCCTCCACCCCTGCTATGGCTGGAAGCTGTGCCATGCTCAGGTCAGAGCTCCAGCAGGGAACAGCATGGGATTCCCGATTCGGAGGCAGTTTGCAGCTAGACAGGCATGGATGGATGGAAATGCTGTTTGCTCACATGGTCAATCCGTGCCCGGATCTTTTCCAGCTCTTCCCTGGTTTCCTCCGCCTGCCGCGCTGCTTTGGAGTACATGGTGGCTTGGATCACAGCCGGGGCAGGCCCGGCCCAGCTGTGGAGGCTGCTGTCCCAGCTGGTCTCCATGGCATCCACCCTGGGCAGGAGACAGAGGTGATGCAGTGGAAGTCTGCCCCCAGCTTACATCATTTGTTTTCTTGGCTTTGGGGTTTCTCTCAGCCCAGCTCCCAGATAATCCACAGATTTTCCTCTTCTCCCGCACTTCCACACGTGGCCCCTCCTATACACATGGCTCAGTCCAGGAGACTGGTTACAGGGCGGGGTCCCTCATTGAACCACCACTAGCAGCTCCTAAGCCTGGGGGTGAGGTGGGGAGTGCTGCGCCGTGTGGCATGCAAAGCACTGGATTTGCTAATCACACCACTCAGAGTCACCCCCTCTCTCACCCTTCTTGTTAACACAGCACCAAGGGGCAGAGATTGACATGCTCACAGCCCGGCAGTTCACACCCATTGTAGCTCTGGCCCATGCTCAGGGGCTGGGAACAGACACACCCTGATCTCATTTCGGCAGGTTACTGGGGCTCCCACTCCTCACACACCATGGCAGTCACACCACCTCTAGGCGTTTCGTTGCCTCATGCGGCTGAAAGTGGGAGGAAAGGAAAGTTGCTGGGCCATTCCAGTAACAGACCCCCAAGGATACAGCCTGGGGACTCCCCAGAATACAGCCGGGCTCTGCACAGGTGTTAAGGTATCACTGCAATGATCTAATCTAGCCTCCTGCACAGCACAGGCCAGGGAATCTCACCCAGGGATTCCTGCAGCGAGGCCATAGCTCCTAGAGAAGCCCATAGTTACTGTGCATTAGATAGCTATGGCCTGTCAGCATAGCCTGTGCCAGAGCATTATAACCTCATGAGGTTAGTGAACCTCACAGACATGCAGTAGCTGAGGAGAAAATATAAGAGGCAACACACTGAGTGAAAAAGTCCTATGCTTGGAAGTCACTCACCTGTCTGGAGCGCCAGCATCGGCTGCTATTGATTGAGTGAGTCGCACTGTGGGGATATTTTCCAACCTGCTGCTCACAATGGTTACTATAAACAGGTGTTTAGTAACTGAGTCCCCAGGGAGAGCGCACACACCCCACAGCTTCTACAGGAGGAGGAAATGGAAAATCACCCACACCCAGGCCTTAGCCTCAGCTATTTACCTGGCCCCATCACCAATGATCAGGTTGGCAGGGATGGAGGTTTTCGCCTTGGAATCTAAACCTCCTTTAACTGGAATTTACTTGGCAATACCCTAAACTGACAGCAAAACTCAGCTACCACCAGGCAGCTCTGCGAAGGGGCAGGTTCAGGTTTGGGTAACTGGCCAGCAGTTGGGATGCTGCTCACTCTATAACTCAGTCTAGCAGAGAATGGTCTGACACCACCCCGTTGGTGGAAGCCAAAGCTAGACAAATTCAGACCGGAAATAAGTGTAAATGTTTAATAGCGAGTGGAATTAACCATCGGAACAAATTTACCAGCAGTCATGGTGGATTCTCCATCTGGCAATTTTTAGATTTTTTTTTTTTTAAAGTTATGCTCTAGTGCAACCGGCAATTAATTCTGCAAAGGCTCGTGGCCTGTCTTATACAGGTCAGACTAGATGGTGGTAACGGTCCCTTCTGGCTTTGGATCCCATGAATTAGCCAGGTTACTAGTTATGCCTGAGATTACTAGAGACATTACAGATACTGTGTCCTTCGTGCTATTGATTTGTTTTCCCCCCCCTCTACACGTCCCTTGGACAATGGATCTAGTCCATTTCCCTTGTCAGATCTCAGGCACTCCTATCTTGCATTTTTAGCATGTCCCCTACCCGAGGAGCTAAGAGCTTTACAGTGACAGTGCTCAGAGTACACCCCTCTGAGGACACCATCTTCATACCCCCACCTCAGGCACAGGGGAGGCCCACATTTCAGAAGTGGCCCCTGATTGAAGACTTCCATTTTTACTTCTTGACTGTCCAGAGGCAACAGAAGATCCTTCTACAGAGCAGAACATACGACCAGAGAACCCAGAGCAGTTCATTTCCCCTACTCCTCCCAAGCCCTGAGGACCCCCCGCCCCCATGGACACAGTCCTTCTAGCTGGGGCTATTGGAAGGGTACAGATCCTGCAGTGACTGCCCAGGGAAGGTGGTTTACTTGGAATGGAAAGCAGTGCTCACATACTGGGACTCACCAATTTATTTCAGAGAAATTGACAGCACACACAATGGGCTGAATCTGGGACTTTTCAAACCCCATACTACCATGGGCGTGTAAAGCGCTGTGTTCAGGTAGTGCCACCCCTCCCCTGGGCTTCCCCCTGCCTCGCTGCAAGCTCTTCTGAGACTCACAGAAGGTAGAGACCCCATGCTGCAGTGTCAGGACTCAGAGCACACACTACCCAGTGTCCCTACCATTTGCTGATCTGCCTTGGTTAACTGGAACTGGGGACGGAGTACTACTCAATGCATGCAGGGTGCTACCTCTACACCTGCCCGAATGTGGGAAAGGTGTGGGTAGGTCAAAGTCCTAAGCATGCCAGCACCAGCACAAGGCACATCTGGACCTCCCGTGAACACATGGTGGTGCCTCCCACCCAGTAATGCAGAAAACAGCATGTGCCTCAGCATGGATGGCACTGCATGACGTGGTACTTGAAGCTCATGTGCTGGGGAGACCGCTGACCTAGAGGAGACAAAGCCCATGGAACCAGAGAGCAACACCAGGACCTAAGGAGTCAGTGTGATGTTGGGGGTCTGCTGGGCTGAGACTCTCACCTCCACCCTGGTGATACACCGTAAGGGAGAGCGGGCAAGCTCACAGCCTCACCAGCTGGGCAGGAATTAGGGCTTGTCCACACTGGACAGTTTTACCAGTTACTGGTATGATTAAACCAGTGTATTTACCCGACCTAGATATCCCAGGGTAACTCTCTGGTGCTGGAATATGTGAGTGTCGGGGTAGAACTAGCATAGTTTAAATACACTGTCACTTACACCAATAGACCTCCCCTGCGTAGACAGCCTTCAGGCCACTACTCAGCATGTTCATCCTGGTGACTAACAGCGTTCAGGACCAACTGCTGAGCTTCAGAAGGGTCCAGGAGCTGCTCCCCAGGGGGACAGGGCACAGCTACCGTCCTCCCAGGAGCCCAGAACTACTCTGCTAGGCTCAGATGACAATTCACTGTTTATCGCCCTCTGGTGGCTAGGTACTGCCTCCACAAACACAGCAACTATGGGTGCCAAGCAGAGGAAGATCACTCCCCATACACCAAAAAAAGCAGTGAAAGCCCCCACCCCTAGCCCACATCACTTTACATGGGCCTCCTGTGACACTCCCTCCCACAGTAAGGGCCAGTCAAGTGCTCTCCCCCAAGAAGACACCCCGGCACTAGCGGAAGAGGGGACAGGTTTGGTTTCCCACATTTATTGGAAAAGTGACAGCGCAGCAATGGATTCAGATAGCTCCTCTGGGTGTTTTGAAGTTCATTCCCACAGTGGGCTGCGTGACCTGCAGGTTGGATAGACTGCCAAAGTCCTGGAAGACATATAGAACAGACCAGGTTACACTCAGCATGCCAGCCTACCTCTTCCTCTCTGCTGGCAGGGGTCCCAGATCAAAGCACAGCAGGCTCTGCCCTAACTCTCCCTCCCAACACACAAACGCATCTACCCCGAATCCCAGCGAGAACAGAGGGCGAGTCCTCCAGCCTGTCCATAGACAGGAGGCCGTGCTGCAGAGACAGGGAGGGGGAGTCTGTCACACAACACGGCAGTGAACCCCAACAGGCTTGCAAGTGCGACACACAGGAGCGTGGGGACTTAGGGACCAGCCTGGCTGAGCATTCACTGGACTGGGGCACGAGATGCACCCAGTTGTGAAAGTTACACAACTAACATGCCAGCAGCTGGGCTGGAATCTGGACTTCACAGGCTCACCCATGGTTCAGTTGCTTCTGTAGTGGTGGTGTTCTAATCAGGGGCAGGAGGCCTTGAGCACAGCTCTGGTATCAGAGCACATGTCCCAGTGGTGAAGGGGAGACCCAAAACAAAAACAGGTGTCTAGGCCCTTGTGCAGCTAAGAGCAACTCCGAGTGGGAAGGAGCATTGCATGCAGGAGAGCTCGGGGAAAACCATACCAGACACTGAGACCTAGAGGCTGGTACAGAAGAGACTGGGGGTGGGCAGGGAAGGAAGAGAATGCGTGTGTCCGTCACCACTAGCAAGTCCATGGCAAAGTCCTCTCCAGGTAGCCTGCCCCTCCCCCTTTCATGCTGCTGGAGCTGGGATTTCTAGCAGGGTTGTGGCCCTTGATCATGCTCAGGAGCACTGGCTATTTCATATTTCAATTCACAAGCCCCACCCCCACCCCGGTATAACTAATATATTATCCCCACCAGCCCCAGAGCTCTGGACAGAAGTGGGTGAGCACTGTTACCCGCTTTACAGACAGGGACACACAGAGGCTCTCAGGTGCTGACGGGGGGTTTCTGGCTCCCTGAGATGTAGGCGAAGAATTGCCTAGCTGTATTGCAGTTGAAAGCCATGCTAGCAGGGTCAGAATGGTGTTGCTGGCAGGCTTCTAGAAAAGCTTTTCCAGCCACTGTTTTGGGAGAAGAGGGGGGGGGATTTTTTTTCTGGACAATTCATAATAATTGCACTACAGAGGCCAGTCAGTCCATGGCCCAGGTCTAACAGAGTAACTGTGCTCGAAACCTGCTCATAAAGTCCTCCAAACAGCTTGCTAGGAGGCTCTCCCTGGTGCCTGAACAAGGCCTTCAGTCTGCACTGAGCTATGATGGCTAAGAGCTTCCCCCTCCAGAAGAGCGAAGGCACAAGCCAATCTCTCTGAAGAGACCACACTCACCAGCAGCTTCAGCATTTCCTTAGTATCTGGGTCAACTTCAATGATCTCCTGGTCAAGGGCAGAGACCTGCAGAGGGAAAAAGAACATGGATGCACTTTGTTAAACATCTCACACACACACACGGCTCTGTGAGTCTAGCATTACTCAGACCCCACTCAGAGATGGTCAGAAGCTGGAGTGGGTCCCCACAAAGGCTGCGACTCTCCAACCAGTCCAGGGAGTTGGCTGCTCACATGACACTGACTCCTTGAGGCCAGTTGCTAAACTCACATCACCAAACAGGAATGAAGGGTTTGAGAAGCCCTGAGCTAAGACAAATGCTTCTCATTCACAAACAGCCACCTCTGCAGGGACAAGCCTCCACCACAGCTCACTGTCCTCACATTCCACTGCTTGGGAAACTCCACTTGCCCCATAAATACTGTGGGGAGAGCTGCGAAGTGCACTAAGAATCCAGCCATACAACACTGTCAGGGAGCAGAGCAGGAGCTCTCAGCATGGACAGTCTCTTCTGCCTTCAGCCATCTTCCCTAAAGCATATGGGACCTTCGCAACTCCAGCTGTGTCTAGGATACTGCCCTCAATTCCCATGTGGCAGCAAACCAGCCTCCTGCAGAGAGCCCAGACTGAATTCATCTCTCTATAGCCAATCCACTGTTCCTTCCCCAGGCCAGTGTTGGCAGCAGGCAGTTACTGCATGACAGGAGGGTGTTTGCCTGCGACACACAATGGAGTCTAGGGCCCTCACATTTGGCTGCACCTACTGATGTAACTCTGGACTTCACCTGCCTTGCTTCTATCACCACGCCCTGCCATGGCTCCTGGCAGCCAGCAGTCACCAGAATCATACCACTCAGTTCAGAACTAGTAAATAGCAGAGTAACCAGCCGCAGGCAAAAAGAGAGCTTGAAAACGTATGAAAGGCAGAAGTTAACCTTTTGGTGTCCAGATTTCAAGAATGAGGCCTTTAACACTCTTGAACCCTCAGGATTAATAGCACCCCTACAGGGTGGCTACAGATCTTTTTACCCCCATTCTTAACATTGGTTACATTTAGTGTTTTAGTTCAGAAAGACGCACCCGCTTTAGTCACGTTTCTCAAGTGTTACCAGAATTTCATGAGACTGCTGAGCAGTCTCATTTAGAGTACTCCTCTGAGCTGAGAGAGACAAGTGCCATGCTTCATTACCACCGTTGTGACAGCACCACAAACTCAGACACAACGATAAGCCCAGGCTATATTTGAACCACCTCCACCAGCTATGCTCCTCCCTTCACAGTTTGCCATTTGAAGTCAATGGGACTGATGTGCCTAAGTCACTTGTGGGTGTGATTTTTTCCAAAAGCCCCACGTTCCTAGACATGAATGAGCTCAGTAGCCAATCTTTTGGCCTGCATGCATAATAGGTATTGGGAAGCTTTTCAGTGTATCAACAATCCAAATAACTTTTCACTGTTAACACTGGAGTGAGTCTGTTTTGAAGTGACAAAGGGGTGGATCACTCCAACCGCCCTGTTCGGTACACTCCCCCTGAAGCTCTAATACTGGCCGCTGCTGGATACCGGTCCAATGGATACTGGCAGTTATGTTCTTGCATAAGAGAAACATTAAATAAAAATACAATTTCAGACCCTGATGCTGCAGACACTTATGTACATGTTTGAACTTCCATGAATGGTCCCATTGAGGTCAGTGGGATCATTAGTGAGAGTTAATTTACAAACCAAGGCCTTCATTTTCAATATTTTGTTTTTTGCCTATGGCAGTTTTGTGAAATCCCAATAAGTTACCCCATCAGAAGTGTCACTTCAAAAGAACACCACAGCATGGACGCTTTATAACTAATCACAGTTTAAATTCAATTGGTAATAAATAGTAGAAATTTTCAAGTTAGTTTGACAATTCTGAACCTGATTTAAATCTCTCCCCTCCAGAGCTCACCCACCTTGGATCCGTTGCAAATATCTGCTTACGCTACAAGCTTTACATGTCCTGTTGTAACTGTTTGATCTTGCCCTTGCAGCAGGATCACAGCATATATGAACCTTGGCTATCTCCAAGTTCTAACAGCACCCCTACGGCCTAAGGAAGCAGGAGACGTAGTACAGTGGGCCAAGACAACTCTCTCTTGCTCCAGAGTTCAAGCATTTATCACTGACTATCCAAAACCCCTAATGCAGGAGTTGGCAGGAGTCAGCCAATGATTTGCCATGTGTTCCTGTACATGAGTCTTATTTAAGGGCTCTGGGTAAATAGTTATTTTTCATCTGCCACAAAATGACACTTGCAGGCATTTGACTGATAAAGGGAGCAAGAGATCTGCCTAGTTTTACTGTAGCTTCTGCAAGAGGTTCTGCCAAAAAGCTATTTTAGAGTTTCTTACCGCAACAGTGACTCACAACCAAACTCCCTTGCCTGCCACAGGAGTACAAAGGAGTTATTTCTCCGTTCAGTGACACTATGGGAAGACAGCTACATCAGTGCTCTCCTCTTTCAGCTGATAACAGCAAGTCCTGCCCTTGAAGCGCAGATAGTAACAGGTCACTAGCTGCATTATTCTAGCAGTCAGACATTTTGTGCAGAGAATCAAAGGAAGGTGGGGGCATGATTTCCCCCCCATCTGCCTACTGCAGGGTATGTACACCTTCCTTTGGGGCTGGCCATTGCCAGAGGCAGGGCACTGGTAGAGATGGGGCTGGGATTCAGTATGGCTATTCCTATGTTCCTAGCGTGCCAAGTTCTCAGAGCTGGCTAGAACTTTTGTGAGAGGGCAGACACCTCCCAGGTAGACCTGAGAGGGATGGGATTGCCAGTGACAGCTGGGGACTGGACTCAATGACCCAGAGGCCCCTTCCAGTCCTATGATTGGGACACATGGGTGGTAGCTGTGAGGGAGCTAGCCTAACACACACTATCAGGAGGGAGGCAAGAGCAGGCACAGTCCTCCTGTATTTACATCACGTGTTACCCAGCCAGCACATCATAGACTGGAGCAGATCAGCACGGACTCCCCACTTCCAGGGAAAGTGGAGATCTGCAAGCCTGGTATCAAGGAGGGAACAGCCCCAACCCACCCAGTGACATCAAAGCTCCCATTACACTCATTGGCATCACACCTGTTTTTCATAAGACTTCTAGTGAAAACTGAACTCTACACTCAGAATGTGCCACAGAACCAAACCTGTGGTCACAATGGAGTGCCAGCCTTTGGGTGAAGTGCACATTGAAGACAAGTCCTGAAGCTGGCTTGTTGCTGTTTGTCACTTCATAGTCCATGATGCTGCAAAAATAATTTTGTTGGAAGCCAATTTGAGGTCACCTACCGCACCCACCACATTGGACTGGAGGTGAGGGCAGGAGGTAGTGTCTGAAAGTTACAGGGTTTGGTA